GCACTGCTCAGTATCCCCTTTGCTGCCTTCTGCCCATTTCCACCATGCTCTGTATCTTTACTCCTCTTAACCCAAGGGACCTATGAGCCTTCTGTATATTACCCTGACTCCAGAAGGATTTTTCTTAATATTCAGTCCCTTTAAAACTTAACTTTTTCTAAAGTTCTCTAAGTAATTTGACTGTTCAGAAGGCAATGTCAAAAGGAATTGAAGAAGTGAATGGCCAAACCAAGAGATGGGACTAGCAGCTCTTAGAGTGACCCAAGGATGTCATTCCATACACGCCGCCTGTACCCTGGCTTGCTTATTGGTCTTCCTCGTGCTCTTACAAACTGTGAGCTTTGCTGACAGGAATTCCTCTTGCTTGAGAAATCATGATGTTGTTATGGAGGTGTGTCCAAACGTATTAGTGGTGGTGAAGCCCAGATTAGCAGAGCTATGGGCTTGTGTGTTTCTAATCCCCTTACTGCCCCAGAGGCTACAGCAACGCATGCAGAGCAGCACAAAGTAGCAGCACCCTGTACTGCTGCTGTGTTTGCAGGTGTTCCTGCCTCAGGGTGCCTGCCTCCCAGGAAATGCAGGAGCAGAAGGTCCATGCTAAATTGCTAGAACAGCACTAATATGGAATGATAATCTGCTTTTGTTGCGTGATTAACACAGGCGTTGTATAGGATCTATATGTTCTTCCATACAAAATCATCCCAGCTCTATGAGGTTAAAGTATTTCTTGAGTGTCTTAGCACTGTGGTTGAGAGAAATATTTTATTTTTGGAAGGTAACAGATAGTAGTGAAGAGGAAGACAACCTTATAGGCCCAATGCCTGCAAAAGGACCAATGGAGTCTGATGTAACTAAGGATTTTGAACGCAGAGCTCAGAGAATGAAAGAAAAACTTACTTCAGCAGACAATGTAAGTTGGGTATTTTTTCTTTTCTGGTATTTTTTTGGTGGATATATTTGTCTTTTTCCTTGCATGACAGTTTTTCTGTGTGGACCCAGCTGCAGTATTACTGCATTTTTTTTCTAAATGGTTTTAATTCTTGTTAAGACAAAGAAAAATCTGTAATTTCTGCTGGAAGTTAATAGATTCATCTGGCAATTTTGTTTTGTTTCGTTTTTCCACTTTTTTTCTTTTGTAAAGGATGAACCCAAGAAAGTTACGAGAGAATCATGGATGACAGAGCTTCCTCCAGAACTGAAAAGCTTTGGGTTTGGCCCAAGAACATTCAAGAGAAGAGCTGATGAAAAATCCGGCGACAGATCCATTTGGACAGATACTCCAGCCGACAGAGAGAGAAAAGCCAAAGTGAGTGTTTACTCAATCCTGTATTACATGCAGGCGGTTTATGTGTTGGTAGTGTCCTGTGAAAACAAACTATGAGCTGTTCAGTGAAAAAGCTTTTTCATGCTTCTCTTTA